CACTGATCTTCAGCACGAGTTATCGTCCACAACACTTAAACTACGCATCAAACAGATGGGAACAGGTAAGAAAACCTTACTTTGTGACACAACTACAGGTAGGGATCGCCCAATCGTGCCGAAACATTATCGACGCAATGTCTTCAATACATTGCACAAACTTTCGCATCCAGGTGTTCGTGCAACCATCAAGCTTATAGCAGAACGGTTTTGCTGGCCTGGAATGAATAAAGACGTGAGGGAGTGGGCACGCTCCTGTGTAAGCTGCCAAAAATCTAAGCTTATCAGACACAATTAATGTCCCTTAGGCTCGTTTAAAACTCCCGATGCTCGTTTCGACCATGTTCATCTGGATTTGGTAGGACCTTTACCAGATTCAAATGGATACTCTTATCTCTTAACCTGCGTCGACCGTTTCACTCGATGGCCAGAAGCAGTACCTATCAAGGACATCACTGCTGAAACAGTGGCCCGCACCTTCGCCGAGCGATGGGTAGCAAACTTCGGTTGCCCTTCAACCATCACCACAGACCGCGGACGTCAGTTTGATTCTGATCTTTTCCGTCGTCTGACCACACTTTTAGGGATCAATCGCTTCCGAACGACCGCCTACCATCCACAAGCAAACGGGTTGGTAGAACGTTTTCACCGACAACTAAAAGCTTCACCATCAGCTGCAAACGTTTCACAGTGGACCGACGCTCTTCCACTTGTCTTACTAGGCATCCGCAGTGCAGTGAAAGCTGACATTGGATACACTGCGGCTCAACTCGTTTATGGAACGACACTTCGACTTCCAGGAGAATTCGTGGATCCTTCATCCTCTTCAATGAACATGGATCTAACCTCCTACACAAGAGGCTTACAAACGCAATGCGTTCAGTTAAACCTGCTTCCACTCGACCTCAATCAACTGATGTTTTCGTTCAACCTGACTTACGATATAGTACACACGTTTTCGTTCGTCGAGACTCGCAACGACGACCATTCGAATCAGCATACGAAGGACCCTTCAAAGTTCTTCAACGTGAATCTAAGTACTATATAGTCGATAAGAACGAACAAACGATAGCATCAGCATCGATCGCTTAAAAGCAGCGTATTTAGAAGGAAATCCTATCTACGTGGATTTTCCTTCGGTACAATCGAACGACACGACTCCAACACTTATAATACCTCATCCGACAACCAACACACACGATGATACTTCGACAGTATACGAAAATAAACTTAAAACGACGCGTTCTGGAAGAAGGGTGAGATTTCCAGAACATTTAAACGACTATTGCACGTAAGGCACTTCTTGACATTTAATATTATTTTTTTTAAAAAAAAAACAATTTTAATATGCTTATATATTTTTATTTCTATTTAAAAAAAACAAAACAAAAAAAACAATTTTTTTAACGCTATTACGTGTTCATGAGTTTATTTTCCATTTTTTTCCCGCCGACATTGTGCTTTTACGCACATACGAGTGTATTTTCGACATGCACTTACATTTTCTTTTTTCTTTTCCAGGACGGCTGGAAATGAACGACGACGTTTATGAGGATCCGAAATTTTCATTGTACATTTTCTTTTTTTACTATGTTGTACCTCCGTCCCATATAGTAAGGAAAGACGACCAGACGCTGCTACACTTAGTAAGCTATCAGAAGAGTGTTTACCAACGACAAACTCGTTGGGTTTAAACTTCTGGCTGGCCACGTCTTAGGGTCGTCACTGCCCCACTAGGGGGGGAGTGATCTGTAGCGGTAAATAAATCCCCAAAATAAATAGCACTAAGTTTTCGACATTGGATGCTGACCATATGTTTTAGTGGACTCACCTAGCTGAAGGCGCTCGGTCAGGCATCCGCACCAGATCACGTGTGGTAACGCCGTGCTCAACATCTACCGCAATCGCTAGCCAGATTAGATCAGAGAATTCCGATATATTGGTCATCGCCAAATATACTCTTCCGATCTCCTCGACTCTGTCTTTTGATTTCTCTGGGTGGGAACGAAATACATTAGGTGTTACTGGTAGAAGCGTTGTCAAACACTGAATACCTGTGACATCATCACTCATGTTCAAGTAGATGTGTAGTTCCAGCTTAAGGGTTACTAGAAGAGCTCACGAACCGAATATAGTGTTCAGCTAGCAACACTTATCAGTACACTGCAAAAATAAACGTGTTCCGTACAGAGGCATTGTCAAATTTCGAATATCTTTTTCCTCTTTGAATGTTTTAAACCCCACAGTAAGGGCCTCACAGTAATGAGCCGTGGTTCTGAGATCCAGATATGCAATTACACTGAGATTATTGTAAGGAAGGATCAGAGGCAGTGGTGCTTCCCTTATCCTGCAATCGCTTACATTAGTGTGTTCAACATGCATATAAATACATTTGGGTGAATTGACGGTGATCGATATCAGTTTGCATAGATTTAACGGAACGTCTAGTTTGACCTGGAGTGTAGCTTTGTGGACTAAATGATAGGCAACAGTTCTTCACATAGTGTCTAACAAGTAGAGGACTCGGAACTTAATCTCTGAGTACTGATTTCCATGAAGAACATTTGGGATTTACCCATATTCTCTGTAGACCACCCACCAGGAAATCCTTGACCCACTATAGCACAGGCTCGGAGATAACTAGGATTTCCGGTTTCATTAACAGCCTACTGTGCGAAAACGTATCAAATACTTCAATGGAATTAGCGTATAGCATTTTCGGCATTTTAACTATTACACAAATGGGGCCTGCAAATCTGTGGTCCAAAAATCGTCCTGATCTTATCTTGTGAATCGGAGTGACGATCGTATCCTTACTGTCCACTACATAATCTGAATGAGTAACGTCTTGAGTATCGTGGTAAGCGAGACAGTAATGTACAGTGCAACCTGTCTCCAGATTATAAAATGTAATCTATCTGATGCTGTTGATTTTCACGTATTAAAACAGCTTAATATCTTCACTAACTATTCCTATTTGAAGCTCGTATTGAAGAGCAGGCTTATTAGTATTGTTTTTGAATCCAGCCTGTAAATCCGAAATTTCAATAATTCTCATATAGTTATACCTGTCAATGATTGAATAATGAACTACGGTTCACGGACTCCATAGAACGATAGGTAACAGCACTTCTCGTGTAGCAATATATTCTTGATAGTTATAGCCACTAATTACAACAACACAAGTAAGACCAATCATCAAGTTGGAAAAGCGATCCTAGCCATCCGATGTTTTCTCTGAAGATGAAGAGTGCAGCTGATCGAATAGATTAATTGAGGACTGTTTACTGTTCTAAATAGCAAATCTTTCTGACAAAATTTTTACTCATTGGGAATTGATTTGATCGATCATATCAAACGGACTCAATCAAGAGCACGGCCGCCCAATAAGATAGTCTCCAAATGTCAATATGTAAAGTAAAACTAAACGTGATAATCAGGAGTAAATGAATTATAGTATGAACTGTGAATTCAAGAGTTAACGCAATTGGTTCAAGAAGTACTAGATATCTACAAACGGATGTACTGTATTTTGAATTCGAAATCAAGCATTCAACAAGTACAATGGAATGATCAGTTCATTCAAACACAACATAAGCCACAGCTTAAATTGGAGTCCAGGTGTCTATAACTGATTGTACGTCTACTTCATGAATTCATCCAGTATCTGTCCGACATTGCATTGGATAAAGACCAGATTATCTGGTTCCTGGGATTGTGTAATCAGCATGTCGGTTTTGTACTGAAATTACTACTACTTAGAATTTGAACCACGGACATTCAGACTATCCTCTCCCACGAAATAATGTTGGATCTTCATATCCCCAATTTATGAATGCTGTGACTTCATTTGAAACATTTTTCACACATTGACTAGAGTAAACATCAGAAATGACTTTGTGATAAGGACAAACAGCAGTTGATATGAAATCATCCGAATTGTAATAAAAATCGATCTCATTTAGTACTCGTGCTTCGCATTGAACAAGTTTCCCACAAGAAACAAATGCATTATGAGGACAAGTAATATTTGACAGAACATCAAGATTTGACTCTTCTGAAATAGTTTTCTCAAATTTATTGAGAATGTCATTGCAGAGTAAAGGATCATTAGAAAAATCATCATCTATCAAGGTATCAGGTTTTCGATCATGACTAGGTTCACTCAACATATTTTCTTCAGATTTGCAAGGAATTTCGTCAGAAATAAGTGAATCATTAGGAAAAGCCATATGTGGTACAATAACAAGAGAAATCTGATAAGTTGATTGATTAGAAACCGTTGTCTTGCAAAGATTATGAGTTTCACTTAACTCTGAACTGCTATATGACTACAGTGTCTTTTGAAATTGCTGATAAAGAATAATGATCGGTTTTAATTTACCGAAGAAAATAAACTGTGCCAAAAGCACACAAATACTTCAAACTGTACTTTTTGTAGCCAAAGTTTGCTACAGCACAAATTGGCATACTTAACAGTAAAAGAAATCGTTAACTAATGAGTCTTCAGTATCATAAAACCAATAATTGCATTCCCAAGAAGATGGGAGCAAACATAATTTAGTCACCGCCTGATTTACGATAAGATGAGGCAAATAAAATCACGACCTCCATAATTGTTCTCTTTACTAAAAACTCAGTGTCTGAGGAATCGCATGTATAATATTTCTTTAAACTGCTCCCGATAGACCTGTGAACTTTCAAAAATTAAGCTTGAGATAGGCAAGTAATTTTTCGTGCGTATGTATGTAAAGCTGTGCAAGATGTAGCGAGTATGTTTTGACACATTTTCGTACTAAAATTAAACTTTAAAACCTCTTGTTACCGCTAAGCTTCTATGACCACGCTATCAAATTCATTCTACATCCAAGCTTTTGTAAGTCTTCAAAACCAACTAGCAAGAGTAATTTGTGAAATAGTAAAACGTCGATGTAAATAGTTGCAAATGACAGTGATGCAGTTTAAATCTTGTTTTTCTTTTGTTTTAGCCACCTGATTTAAGTCCGGTCGGTTTACTTTCGTTTCGCCATTGTTGGCTTTTGTGTGGATTATGTTTCTAGTTTTTAGGTAGGTAAGTGTAGAAGATCCACTTGTTTGACTTTGTGTTCTGTTCGTTTATAAATTTTCTACCAGTTAAAGCAGTTATAGTCTGCTACTTTTCCCCAGACTTAACTGTCAACGGACTGAGGGGTTTTTAACTGTTCCCTGACGCCGTCTTCAGGTTTGAATCATTGCGAAATTCGCTGTAAGTCGTGTTGTATGCTGTTCCTAGAAGACGCCTAGAGTTATAATGAGTATGTCTTTGACTCAAGGTATGCTCGTTGTAGGATGTTCGGATCACATGTTAAGTACTCTACCTTAAGCTTCCAATTTTTGTGTTTGCTTGTACAACACAACAAAAGTATTTATCAGTTTGTATCTTATTGAATATTTCTGGTGGGGCTACAGAGGACACATTGCTGGTGCTCTGTGCATTTTAACAGTTGGATGTCTTTGACCATCTTAAAAGTTATGATTGTTCGTCATGTAATTTTTCTGGCATTTAGTTATGGACTGATGATAATCAAAGTAAAAAGCTCAGTGAGTGATTCCTGAGGTTCCGTATTGGGAACCAAGTGTCTAGGACGGTGTTTTCGGGTTGCAGAATATAAATAGTGTGGTTTATTCAGTTGATTGATTATGGTCAAATTTCGTACCTGAATCGCACCAACCACTGAGACCAGCGGCACTACTTATGTAGTAAAAACTCAACGGTACAGGTTCACGCACTTTTTTGCCCTCTTAGATTTCCACATTCCCTCATTGTTGTCTCTTCACCCGTCTTGGACCACACCTTCCACGCTCATTCCTCGCCGTCGCTACTGTAATATTCCTGTCTTTCTTTACTCGACCTTTAAATTTCATCCCGGGCTAACATGTTATGGGAACATGGAACACATGTCTGCCAGGCTCGATGTTAATTACTGCCTATGTCGAGTGATCATGTAGTGGCACGCTCTTCTAATGCCTAGATAAAATCGCTATGCGTGATAAAGTGTAGTCCATCTCTTCTCATGTCTACATCTCACACAATTAAATGTCACAAAGCATTCAGAGTTACTTTCGAAGTACACTAATTTAGTTCATTATCTGTGGTACTATTTCGACTCGTTTACCATCGACTTGATGTTATGCGATATAATGATTTAAAGTATAGAGAATCAACCTGGTTTCAGTATTTATGTACGCTAACATGTACTACATGTTTTGGAAGCTGCGGATGTGTTTTTTCTGTTAGTTTGTGGCATATGATTTGTCTCATACGGATATTGAGTTGCTTTGTGGTTACTCTCAGTAAATAACTATTATTGCGGGTAATTTCGTGTTTTCATGCATTACAATGAATCTTCCTAAATCAGGTAGTGGCTTGTTGTCCGACCGTTTTTATCAGTATTATGTTTGCCCTTATGTCGTGTTTGTTCGTTTAAATATTACTTTTAACTTCTACAAGATTCGTTCCTCGACTTGGTACGGATGTAGTTAGTTAGTGATTTATTTATTATTTATGTATTTTAACACAAATATTGGCAAAAGGAGGCCTCAAATACATATGCGCCACACAGATCTCATTCGATATATGTGAGGGCTGTGATACTGCTTGCGTGCCCAAACCGAAGCAGGGAGTTAGTGAGTCACAACGTCGGAAAACCTGTAATTTAGCGAGGCTTCTCGGTTAGTTAGAAGAACCGTAAACTGATAGCAAGTGATGTGAAATCTTCAAATAGATGATACTTTGCTCATACTTTGTGGGTTGAATGTAACTTAAGCATGTTTTTAATAGCGGATTTAGTCGTAATTAAAGTAGCATCGTTTCAAACAATGACCAATATTACTTACAGAAACTATGAGTAGGAAGTGGGAAATATGCTTTTATCCATAAAACCACTTTTAGCTTGTTTGATTTAAGCGTTTTAACGCTTTGAAACCTTATCCCACTGGGTACTCGCAAAACAGTTGTTATCGCTATCTTGGAGAAGTAAAATCCAATAAACTGTGAATTATCGTAGGTCGCTACTCCTGGCTATCCAAGTTCTAGAGTTAATCCAGTGTAGTTAGATAATTAAACGGGAGTTCACAAGAACAAAAGTATTATATTTAAAAAAACCTAAAATATGTTGTATAGATTGTATTTGAGGTATTCAGTTGGCCCAACCTAATTCGAATTCCCTGGTATCAGTCTGCTTGCTATTAATAGCATAAGTGACCTAAATTGGATTCATTGGCATCGGGGTTCCTATTTCCATTTCTGATGCGTACATACAGTTTGGTAGTTTTAGTAAGGCGCGTATAAAACAATCTTTTATGTCTTACAAATACATTTGAGGTGAGCTTACTTTTCATTACTGAGAATAAAACCAATGTTTTTCTACACTTCCTGGTGAAATTGCGTGTACTTTTAAATTTTTATCAGTCAAGTATTCTTGATACATCAAAGTACATACTTTATTGTATCGTATTTTAATGTACTTATTTGATTACTATTTGGATGAAATGTAGGTGGAAATTAGGTAACACAAGTAACAGGTGAATAACGGTTACGAAAGGCTGTGCACGTAATAGAATACGCATTTTAAAGACCATCATAGTTATCATTGTTCGGTAACGACGATGTCCAACAGTAGTCACACTTGTCAGTGAAAGTAATCATTTGGTTAGTCGTTAACGAAATCAGTGATAAACGTCCAGAACCTGGCAAAGATGCGGGTCAGTCCAGGTTGTCACTAAGCAAAAAAGAAATTAAAAAAGTCAATGGTTAAATTAGTGGTTTCATTGAGAGCGATGCGTTACTGATTGTGAAAAATAGTTTATAAAGCACATAGTGTTGACATACTCAAGGTTCAGCGATTGTGAATCAATATATCTTCACTATTGGGAATAGTTTTAAATTATGCTTTCTATAGCCCACTGTATATTACAATTATTAGGCTGACCTCATGTAAGACTTCTATCTCCATACTCTATTCAGTTCAATATTTAGTGACTCCATAATGATGTTTCCTTTGGTTACTTTCTCCAGTCCGGTCATACGCGGTGGGCAGTTTTGCCATTCGGAATAGGTTGTGACAAAGATGCCTAAGATATTTTTCAAACCAGTCCATTTAATAAAAGTTAACAGTCACATTAACCAGCTTACAATCACGTTCTATAAACTTATGTTCTTAACCTTCAAAGGTTTCCTATTAGTGATAGCCAAGTATCAAGTTGGCCAACTTGTTTGGACTTATTTAATATCCCATACTTAAAATAAGCACACATTTATCCTAATCACTACACAGTATTGAAACGATAAACAAATGAGTGTTTAAAGCTCTCCAAGATCATTGGGCCACGTGTTCAAACTCTCACTTCTTGACAGACAGGTATCACTTTTTAAAATAAGACCTGCGACCCAATGTCAAATTGCTTGTTTTTGGCTACCTGGTTGTATATGTGTATACCGTTAACGCAAATTTTAGATTCTCGTTTAAGTGGGCTAATCTCCGATCTTTCTGCAAAGGTCAAAATAAATTAGACAAAGCATCTGGTTTTTGAATTCACAAGTCGATCTTTTAGTGATAGCTGTTTAAATATAAAACTGGTAAAGGGTTTTAAATCAATTAACAACAATTCGTTAAATAGGATTTACCGACCTTATAAAAATAGTAAATGAACTAAGATTGTAACGACTGAAGTTATGTTTTGATAGCATCACCCTTGGGAAGCGTGTTAATAGTGCACAAGTTTTTTTGTTTTCAGCTCTATTAACCGGTGGTCACTATACGTTCTAACGCAACCCAGATAAGGAAACCATTGTGCTGTACCCCCAGTGGTTTAAGCGACTCGCGTTTTCGACTGCTGGTTCGGAATTATCACTTATTGTGGTCTTCAGGGTCGTGATTTGATTGCTAAACTTAAATACAGTGAGCAACCACCCATTAATCTGCGTAGAGTTATCTTCTAAGATAATTATAATTGGGGTTATTATAAAATGAACATGGCTATGTTCCATTACTTAAAAACCAAAGCTTATTTTATTTATTGGACTTACAATTTTGGTCTTTTTCAGTATCGATGCGAAAATCAGCTTTATGATATGTAACCTGCTGGATACTTATCAGATTGATAATCTTATTTACTTCAATCATCATTGATTCAAGTCTCTTTAGGTCGATATCTGTGCAGAAATTCGCTTGTGTGAAGTTGACGCTAATTTCGGTATCTAGATTTTTTTTACATCTAAACCACTACTTCTTAGTTCACGTTCTCCTCTATACTTCTTAGATCTAATAGTAAGTTCAGTGAATTATGATTTTGCTTCCACTGACTGCAGTCCATGTTTCTTTAAAACTCCACCTGAAGTCTCAAACGGGCATATTTTTGAAACCATTGCAGTTATTTTTTTATCCGACTTATGGTTTACTAAGTAAGTATGGTTTACTAACCATCCAGAATCTAAGTCCTTAACAATACCACTATGACCAAAATGGATGTCTTTTATGATAATTACAGAGCACTGAGTTTTGATCTTGTTCCAATAGTGAGCAGTTGTTTAAATACTTCTAATGTAGTTGTATGATCGCATTTGTCATCCCTACTCCGCCTGCTTCTATTTCAGCATTTATGTTACATCACTGGACTACACAAAAAGTATGGTCCAAGACTGATTGATTAAACCTGTGTTTGATTACCAGGCAACACCAGTAATCAAATTAAAGATCGGTTGTCATTTCAGATAGTTTGATCATGATATTTATAAGGTAGTCGGTCCAAAAGTTACTTCCACTGAAAAGTTTGTCTTTTATCGCGGTAATGAAAACAGGTATCTGCTGGCGTTAAGTTTTTGCTTGATTACTTTCATGAATAAAAATCACGTGTTCATATATAATCTAGTCCGGTTAAATGCCATGTCAAAGAATGAATGCATCTGCGCCATCGCGAATGATTTTGAGCCATGCTATTCAAAGTCTCTAACTATCGGCTACGATGATCAGTAGGACCCCAGAAAGGTGGTCCACACCTATTATCATGACTCAGTCCAATTCTCAATGTCTTTATGGTTTGGTTATGCCGCCTCTAGCCTTATCCTAGCCTACTCCTACACAAGAGAACATCTCCCGTCGAGTTAGGTGGTGGTTGAGTATACATAACATGTCCAACCACCTCAGTTGATGAAAATTTACTAATTCATCAATCGATTTCCCATCTTTAACAAGCATCCCATTCTTAACCCAGGCATTGCTTACTCCGTAGTCCCAAAATACACGAGCAATACTTCGAAGACACCTATGATCAAATACTGACAACCTATGAGTATCCTCTATTCTTAATGGTCACGTTTCAAATCCGTAAAGTAGAACGGAGCAAACTGGTGTTCAGTGAATTCGTTCTTTGGTTGGAAGATGGATATCTCACCTACGCCAAAAGTGACGCAAGTTGGCCAATCTAGCCTTCTGAACCTGTGCTGAGAGTTCGTCAGACACCAGACTGTCAGTAATGATGAGACTTCTAAGATAAATAAAACGGTCTATAAGTTCAACTACTTCACTCCCTACCATTAATTCAGGTGATGACGCAGGCCATAACTAAGGTAACATTTTGCATTTGAAGGGAGATCACATCCCAAAAATGCTTGAATCTCTGCTTAAGGTGATCAGAAGACTGGATTTTTATCAGCGTATTCGCCAAACAGAAGTATGTCTTCTGTGCAGTCTAAGTCAACAAGTGGATCCCCTGGGAGTAGATCAACCCATAGGAAGTCAAATGATGGACGTTTTATCTGTAAAAGCATGTCCCTGACGTAAAAACAGGGAGAGTGGACATTCTTGACGAACAACACTCGAACTAATTTCTATAAAAGTTCACCATAAGCTCTTACTCAATCACTAGCGTTCGAGCAGAGAGCCTGTGCAAGGTTAATTTACTTTGGTACGCCTTTCAGTGTCAGACACTACTACAGAACCTCACGATCAGCAGAGATGAACACTGTCAAGGACATCAAAAAGTATGCTTATGTTCTAGGTCCTACAGAGAAGTGAATCAGTTTGGTTTTCTCGGGTTTTCTTTTCACGAGCTCAAGCTAGTAAACGACGGATTATTTTAAACATTTATGTGTAGTTTCCATTGATTACGAACTACCACATTAAGTGTGCGAAAGCCGTGTAAGTGATTTCGAACTTTCAAGACAATGTCTACGTTCTTTACATGAAGTACTTCAGTAATTTGATAATGGCAGTTGTAATAGAAATGCAGCTTATGAAGTAATATATGTCACATATAAAATACGGGTTGGTGTTTGGATACGCCTGTAGAAAAATGCGTTGATTAGTAAGGTTTATTGTTCGAAAAATCGTAACACTAAGTTACCATAAAGTCTTAATGGTCTACATGCCTTCGTGATCACAATCGACCTATTTTTTTAAAATACATATCAACAGTATTTGTAAATTGGTCATTATTAACATGAAGCTTAGGGAGTTAGATGATTAGTTTTTGGTTGCTATGGCGAAGTACGGAACAATACTTAAGAATATTTCATTTTTCCTTCAGAGTTGTACATATCATATCTGAATTTTTTTAGATTCTCACCAATGCAATGAGCTCTGAAGCGAATCTCGATTCTTCTAATTCCATTAAATCAGAACCTCATGCTGCTAAGTCTCATTCTTCAAAAATTACTACCAACCAGCTGGAGTATATTAAAAAAGAAGTGGTTGGGCGACTATTTAAAGAAAAGATTGTATGGCCGTTTACAAAACCAGTCGATCACCAGCGGCTAAACCTTCCAGTAAGTCTGTTCCTCTGATATGCATAATTCCTAGGACTATCCCAAAATAATAAAACACCCAATGGACCTTGGGACGATAAAACAGCGGCTAAATTTAAAATTTTATCACTCCTCTTCAGAATGTCTCGATGATCTTTTCACTATGTTCCGAAATTGTTATATATTCAACAAGCCAGGTGATGATGTAGTTGCAATGGCAATGAAGCTTGAGCAGATTGCTAGAGAACGCCTTAAATTTATGCCGACTCCTGAGACCGAAATTTGTCCACAAAAAACCCCAAAGTCTATCCGTCCTATTGGCGCTCCTTTGCAGGTCCATCCTGTCGAAACAATTCATACAGCTGCTTCAACCAACCATACTGAAGGGTTAAATGGCTCAGCTGTTTCTGTCGACCAGGCTACATTACCTTTCAGGCCATCAGTAACTTCTACATCTACCAAAAAGGCTAGTAAAAAGAAAAGTGATTCTACGATAGACGAATTACCGTCGACTCCCCAATCATATGATGATCTATCTCGCGACCGCCGTCAAATCAAAAAGCCCAAGCGTGAATATGAAGAACGTAATGTTGGCAAACGATTGCGACTTTCCGAAGCACTGAAAGCTTGCAGTAATATTCTGAAGGATATTTCCTCTCAGAGATATCGGGTATGCGTTTGTAGCATTTTGAGCTATTATTTATAGGATCTCAATCATTTTTTCTTAAAACCAGTGGATGTCGTAGCCCTCGGGCTTCATGATTACTACGATGTTGTCAAAAAAGCAATGGATCTCAGCACCATAAAAACAAAATTAGAAAGTGGTCAGTACCATACCAAATACGATTTCGCAGACGATGTTCGGCTGATGTTTAATAATTGTTATAAGTATAATGGTGAAGATAGCGAAGTTGCTAGAGTGGGGAAACAACTTCAAGCTATTTTCGATGAAAATTTCGCCAAAGTTCCGGATGATGAGTCAGATCCTGCTGCCTCCCCTGATGGTCGTCCTGTTGATCAGAATATGTATCAGCTAATTCAAAACGCCATCAAAGAGCATCAGAAGTTAACCAATCAGTTTCAGCGTTTCAGCGAGGATTTGCAGAAAAGCACAGCTAACCTAAATTCTATCTTATCATCCTTAAGTATGGCTGTCAGAAAAGGTAGGTCTATTTTTTACTATCTATTTTCCCAGCACCTATTGGTCACAACACACCCCATATTAATTCATTACCCCCTACTCAAACTGGCCTTCCGACTGTTCCACGTCCTACTATGAATGATATAGAAGATGTAAATATCACTAAGTAGGTCTTTATATTCGACTAACTTTTATTTTATTTTCAGGAGAGGCAGACAATCTCAGTCGAAAACAAAATACAGACAATCAGGTCAGTTACATCTTTGTTTTTTATGGTAAACTTGTTAGCCTTTTAGTTTCATAACTTTGTTGTATCTTTTGCCTTTAAGTGATCGTGGTCTCCTTATTTTCGAATCTTGCTTTACTATCAGCTTAGGTAATAGAGTAATTTTAGAGCGACTCCTTAATAGTTAAGACGTCTGACTTTTGGCTACTATGTCCCATGTTCAAATCCCTCTCCAGTTACTTCAGTTTGGGCAACCGGGTTGTATAATTATTCCTCAAGCTTAGAGTATGGCTCATACCCAAATACCAGGTGACTGAGCTAATGACATTACTATGTGGCTCACATTTACATTCTAAATATTGTTCTATAAAGCTGTTAGTGGTCCTAACTGTTAAACTAACTATAAACTGCCTCATTTTCTCGTCATTACATACAATTATTCATTGCGACCATTCTGGTTTTTATATCATGTTTTGTTCTGAGACAGAATATTATAGTAAATCGTTTTTTACAGTAAGTTTAGGGGAGTTTTTTGACAGTATCAATCGGAAAGTTGCAGTTCCGAATTGACCTAAATTTCTTCGGACTGGGAGTGAGTTAAATAGCATTGTTATTCAGTTTCTACTCAGTCAGTCGTGTGCAAAGTCGAACTTGGCACATGTGTGCATCCATTCAAGCTACTACATTCAATTAGCACAGCTATTGTTAAACCAAATACCACACAAGTGGAGCTATTAACAGTATCAGTATTAATAAAAAAGATTAGGCTCAAATTATTTATCTATTTGAACACATAAACATTGGTACAAGGGGGCACCACATATATATGTGCCACACAATAACAATGGGAATGTGAAGAGATAGAAAATGTAAGGTGCGTACAAGAAGAAGGCGAACAATAACGAACACAAATCAATGTATGATAGTGAAATAATAATAATGGGAGAACCAGTTCGGAAAGCAAAGGTACAACCAGAAAGGATTCTTCTAGTTAAATAAATTACGTCCATTTTTATGAAGAAAGTAAATGAAAGTTACAGCAGGATCGCCACTGGCTTCTATTCTGAGCTATATCTGATAACGTCTCTAGCCACTGTGTTGCACCATCTCTAGGATCCCAAACATAGAGTCGTGAATGACCAACAGAAGCCAGCCCTTTGCAGCTCTCTTTCATACCACGACACCATGTCATACACTGACCACCTCTCCGCTTCTTCCAACCAGTCCCAGAGTCGGTAAATAATACACGACGTGGAATTCTCTGGGAAGACATTCGGAGAACATGTCCAAGCCACCGAAGTCGGTGTTTCAAGATGGTGACACCAATTACATTATCGTCTCTGTGCCCGAACACACGATGCCGAACTTCTGCATTACTAACATGGTTTTGCCACTGGATGTCAGCAATCCTTCGGGGACAACGATGATCAGACACAGTTGTCTAACATCCTTAACTCGGAGAGGCCAGGTTCCACAAGCATAGAGCAAAACTGCTCTCACCGACGCGTTGTATACAGCCAGACTAACATCACGAAGGCGCTAAAGATGACCCAGATTGGCACAAGCCTCTTTGGCTTTCACTATATGTGAATTGATCCGACTACACACGTCATTACTGGCACTTATGCAGCTACCCGGATATACAAACCTCTCGACTACTTCTATGTGCTCATTACCCAGGGTGAATACAGGATCAGGATCCTGCCAGTCTTGTAGAAGTACTTTGCACTTCGAAGGTGCAAAGCACATACCGTACCTACGGACATTGATTGCCAACTGATTAAGTGTGGATTGCATGGCTTGGGCATCATCACACAGTAAGACAATATCATCCGCATACTCAAGGTCGAGAAGTCTTTCTCCAGCAACGGATTCACACCGCCATTACTTGCATCCATCAGAGCTGTTTCCAGAATGTCATAGATGGCAAAGTTGAAGGGGAACGATGAGATTGGGCAACCCTGTCTAACCCCACTGCTCGAGTGGGACAGAGGAGAGAGGTGGTTGTCGATAGTGCTTTTAAGATGTTAGTAAACTTGAGTAGAACATCTCTGGTAGTGGTTGTATGCACGTGGCCATGTGAGAGCATTTCGAGAGGAAGAGCTGACTCTCCACACTCGACCGTACCAGGGCATTCGCAAAAATGAGACATAACCTTCGTAAGTGAAAGAGTTTTCTGTGGCTGTACTTTTGCTATTTGAACTGGCCCTCCACTCATTATTATTTCACTATCATACACTAATTACTGTTCATTGTTGTACTTCTTTTTTCTTATACGCACCTTACATTCTTTATATCTTCACATTCTCATTATTATTGTGTGGTGATATATATATATATATATATATATATATATGGTGCCCCCTTTGTACCAAATATTTATGTGTTGAAATAAAATAAATAAATAAATAGCAAAGGTGACGAGGAATGGTGAGATTGGGCAACCCTGTGTAACCCCATTGCTTGAATGGAACATTGGAGAGAAGTAATTGTGTGCCCTAACTCAAAAGATATGATTCGAGAAAAAAGTTTGGATTAATGAAATAAAAAGAATTTTACAAAATAATCTAGAAACTTAGGGTTTAGGAAGAGACAAAGTGTGAATGCACCTGTACCGTCGCAAATAATTCTAAGCCGTTTTATTCAAAGTCTCTAACCACAGGTTATGATAATCACTCTGACCCCAACCAGTTATTCTTCGCCTATCTACATGGCTCAGTAAAACAGTCAATATCTTTATGGACTGATGCGAAGTCTTGGTTTGTTCAACCCTAGTTTGCAACCTACTCCATTAGCCACTATCGCACGTCGAGGTAGTCGGTCGATGGGTATACGTAATATCTGTCTTAACTGTCTCAGTCGACAAGGATTCAATTGATTTCCCATCTTTACCTAGCCTCCTACGTTTAACCATTCATACCTACCTAAGCATTAGTAATTTGGGAAGGAAATTGTTCCGATTCGATAGTTAAGACATTTTCCTTGAAATTCCTGTTTGGCCATAATTATTCAAAAATGGACCGTTGTCTTGGAGTTAAATATGACATATTGTTTACCATAAGTGCAACAACTCATCGAATTAAGCATCATCAATAACATATTTTAGATTGTTTTTAATTATGAAGTCGACTTTGTTACATGGATCGAAATCATTGATTAATGTTCTTACATATAGTTCACATTTTGATATTACTTGAAGAAATGTGTCACTGTAATAAAGAAGTAAAGATAACTGAAAAGAATCATCTGTAGTACTCAATAAAACGGTCATCGCTTGTGTATGCAGTATCCTTGCATTAAAATCTAGAAGGAATTTAACTATTAACTTATCGGTTTTTAACTGATTTTAATTTCGAATAAATTATCTTCATTCATTTGCAGTATAATAGTGCCTCTAATTCGGATTTTTGTGTCAACACAAATTAAAATTACAAAGATGAGATGTTTGCCAAGTGATTTCTAAGGGCCTATCATTTCCAACAAATAAACAACAAGAAAAGTTTACGATTATCAAGGGGGTTATTATAGTAAGAAATATCGCTTTATTCCTTAGTTGATGAGACAAGTTTAGGGGATTTAATAAATCACCTTTATGACCCAAAGGAAAACAAACAACAATATCAACTTTTAGACTTCTTATTTTTTTATTAGAAGTTTATTTTACTTCTCAAATTAGGCTTTTACCATCTGGACGGTCATAATATCAATTATATCAGTCTCGACTACTGAATTGTTAAACACAAAGATGTACTTGCTATACCATGTTGGAATACTTACTAAATAAATCGCCATATCACGTCACTTGACGTTCTATCGAAAATTAATGGACAAAAAACGTACCCATTATCAGTGAAATTTGTTTAATCATGTCCACATTACTTCTAGTTAAATGATGTTAAGATAACTTCCAATGGTTTGCTGAAGATATAACCAACAAAAACGATCAGAAGTTGAGAACATTCAATTTTCATTTCTTTAGGCTAACAACAATCGTTTAGCTCACACCTAGTCTAATTTATGCCGTGCAGTTGCTGAAAGAGTTGGATTTCAATCTAGAAAAGTGGATCGTTAACTCGTCACTTGCAAAATGTTTATCTAGAGTTTGCCCACTAAAATCACTTTGATTACTGGTTGGGCACTCAATAATGGTCTGGTATTCTGAATGGACCTTGAGGGAAGATAAAATAAGATCATAGTTTTTCCAATATTACTGAGTGATTGTAAAATCAACTGACAGCTGAATGTTAAGTTTCGGTGTTGGATTTAGGTATTTAGTGCTACAAAGAGTGTTTAGCATAACCCATCAAATCATCTGTTCAGTTTCTTCCTCATCTAGTAGATGTTAATTTCAGTTAGAAACTAGGATAACTGTACATCGGTCCACGTTGCTTCATCACACCAGCGCAGCAATATGAAATTATCAAATTAATATAGTAGAATTAATAGCAGTATCTGTTATAGCAAAATGGGTTTGGCAGAGATAATGACTTAACAAGAAACGAATAAATTCGCGGAATAAAAGAAATAAAATTAATTTTGAAACTCAGGATACAAAGGAAAAGTATAAGGAAATTCATTTTCGGTACCGCTAAGGATTCCGAATCATGTCATCCAAAGTTTTTAACGATTAGTCACGGTAATCACACGGACTGTGACATGGTAGTTTGGAATGATCCCTTGTTTTAGTTTGGACACACCTGGTTTTCTTCCCATCTAATAATGCCCCAGCCAACACCAGGGGTAAAGGTCGGGGTTGGTTTGTCATACTTGATGGATGTTCTGACTATCACTTAGTTAATGAAGATTGGCAGCCTCATCAACGGAATAGCTTAGTACTCTGTTTCTAATCTCGGTTTTGTTCATTCTGTAGCCCCGACATAAAAACATTCCTTTGAGGTCATCTATGATCTTGTGCCAGTAACTTTCCGATGTCGTCTGATCTTAAAGTTAACGCTTCCAATTGTACGTTAAAACAGAGCAATCTGCTGCACCGTATATCTGCTCCTTGATCGCCAGATGTATGTCTCACCCACGCAGAAATTTGTACAAGCTCCGGTTGTCCAGTGAAGTACTAGTTAAGTTGCCAAAATTATTTGGGTCAAACCAAACCTGTGGCTTCATCTCAACCCATCTGTTTAATAATTCAATTGAATGTAAAAATACTCAATCACAACTGTAATCATTGTCTAACAAAGTAATTAAATGTCAACTAGAGAATAACTTATTGTCACTCTTCTCCAGAAAGTGCGTTCGACAGATATTGTAGTACTAGCCGGAGACTTGAATGCTCAGGTCGGGCGTCTAGGCACAGAAGAGAGTCGTTTAGGTGGCCGATGGGGACTCGTTGGTCGCAGGTCAGATAACGGGGACCGTCTACTGCAACTTTGCGCAGACCACAACCTGTTTCTGGCTAGCACTAACTTTCGGCACAGTCATCGCCGATGTGCCACCTGGCGTCCTCCCTCTGCATCTCAAGCCTGGACTCAGATTGATCACATCGCGATCAGCTACCGCTGGCGTGGTTGTGTACAAGACTGCCGCTCCTTTTGGAGTACCTATCTGGACTCTGACCATGCCTTGGTCTGCGCCAATCTTGCCTTACTTTTCAGTGGACAACGAAGTGAACGCCATCAACGGATTGATGTTAGCAAGCTGGTTGCAACTTCTGCTGCAAGTAAGTATCGAACCGAGCTAGCCTCTAGGCTAGCTACCACTCCACCGAAAAGTATAGATGAGCATTGGTTGCAATTGCATGACGCCATGAAAATGGCGGGAACAGTCAGTTGTGGGTTTGCGAAACGTCCCGCTTTTAAGCACTGGGTTTCTTCTGGTTCCTTACAACTCATTGAAGCCCGTCGGTCTACTCCGGGTAACCGTGAGTTTGACCATAAACGAAGGATTTTACGTAAGGAAATCGGGCAAAGCTTGCGTAAGGACCGAGAAGCCTGGTGGTCGATGCGTGCTAATGAGCTGGAAGCAGCAGCTGCATCTGGTAACTACCGGAAGCTCTTCCAACTCATCCGAGCCACTGGCAGCAAGAAGTCTGGTGTGAGTGAAACAATCTGCGAGGATGATGGGATGCCAATCACTAACATCCATCGACGTCTTGGACGATGGGCAGAATTTTTCGAAGGGCAGTTCAACTGGCCTGCTGCTCCGGTAACATCGGTCAGACTGTCCTGCCCTCCATGGCCGGTGACGACTGATCCACCAAATGAGGAGGAAGTCCGCAAGGAACTCCAACTCTTGAAGCGTTACAAATCACCTGGCCCAGATGACTTACCTCCGGCTCTTTTTAAAGATGGTGGTGACTTTTTGATTAAGGAATTGACGACGTTGTTTACAAAGGTTTGGGAACTAGAGAGTGTACCAACGTCATGGAATGAGTCGATAGTTGTCCCTATCTTTAAAAAGGGTTCACGTCGTTCTTGTAACAACTATCGGGGGATAAGTTTACTTCCGATTGCGTCCAAGCTATTGGCTTCCGTCATTCTTCGTAGGTTGTTCAAAACTCGAGAAAGATTGACTCGCGAGGAGCAGGCTGGGTTTCGTTCTGGTCGAGGATGTATTGATCATATCTTCACCCTCCGCCAAATGTTAGAACACCGCCATACTTTTCAAAGGCCAACAATCGTAGTGTTTCTTGACATCAGGGCTGCCTTCGATTCGTTGGATAGGACTGTTCTCTGGGATTGTCTATTGAAGAAGGGTGTGCCTGAGAAGTTTATTAACATCCTAAAAGCCCTGTATAAAAACACCTCAGGCAGAGTGAGGGCATACAACCACCTCTCTCCATTGTTCCATTCGAGCAGTGGGGTTAGGCAGGGTTGCCCAATCTCACCATTCCTCTTCAACTTTGCCATCGATGACATTCTGGAAACAGCTCTGATGAATGTAAGTAATGGTGGTGTGGATCTGTTGCCTGGAGAAAGACTTCTCGACCTTGAGTATGCGGACGATATTGTCTTACTGTGCGATAATGCCCAAGGCATGCAATCCGCACTTAATCAGTTGGCAATCAGTGTCCGTAGGTATGGTATGTGCTTTGCACCTTCGAAGTGCAAAGTACTTCTACAAGACTGGCAGGATTCTAATCCTGTACTCACCCTGGATGGTGAGCAGATAGAAGTAGTCGAGAAGTTCGTGTATCTGGGTAGCTGCATAAGTGCTGGTGGGGGTGTGAGTGATGAGATCAATGCACGAATAGTGAAAGCCAGAGCGGCTTATGCCAATCTGGGCCACCTTTGGCGCCTTCGTGATGTTAGTCTGGCTGTAAAAGGCCGGATCTACAACGCGTCGGTGAGAGCAGTTTTGCTTTATGCTTGTGAAACCTGGCCTCTCCGAGTTAAGGATGTTAGACAACTGTGTCTGATCATCGCTGTCTCCGAAGGATTGCTGACATTCAGTGGCAACACCATGTCAGTAATGCAGAGGTTCGGCATCGTGTGTTCGGGCACAGAGACGATAATGCAATTGGTGTCACCATCTTGAAACACTGACTTCGGTGGCTTGGACATGTTCTCCGAATGTCTTCCCAGAGAATTCCACGTCGTGCATTATTTGCCGACTCTGGGACTGGTTGGAAGAAGCGGAGAGGTGGTCAGTGCATGACATGGTGTCGTGGCATGAAAGAAAGCTGCAAAGGACTGGCTTGTGTTGGTCCTTCACGACTCCCTGGCTGGGGTCCGAGAGATGGTGCTACACAGTGGCTAGAGACGTTATCAGATATGGCTCAGAATAGAAGCCAGTGGCGATCCTGCTGTAACCTTCTTTTACTTTCTTCATAAAAAGTGGTTGTGTCTCCTTTACCTGAAAGATTTCTTCTGATTGTACCTCTTCGTCATTACTCTCTTTTTCTTTTGCGTTCCTTAGTTTTTTTTTTTCTCTTCGAATTCCCATTGTTTTGTGTGGCGCATATATATTGGCGCTCTCTTGTACCAATATTTATGTGTTCAAATAAATAATAATAAATAACTTATTGTCACAACTACCACATATTCTATGTTGCTATGTACGTTAAAGTTCTTGCATTCACTCGTATGTTATGCATTTCAAGATAGGGTATTCAACTTCCATCGTTTTATTTACACAGGACTATCTGCTGCAGCACCCGTTCTAAATACACCATGTGTTCCGGTTAGTAGTAGCACAGTAAATATGAGTTCTACACATTCCCAACCTATACCTGTTCCTGGATATGCTACAGATGAGGAGATGTCCGAAAACAATGTTCGTCCAATGACTTACGATGAGAAACGTCAATTAAGTTTAGATATTAATAAGCTTCCTGGTGAAAAATTAGGTAGAGTTGTCCAAATCATCCAGCAACGTGAACCGTCGCACCGTGATTGTAATCCAGACGAAATCGAAATTGATTTCGAAACGCTGCAACACACAACCTTGCGTGAATTGGAGAAGTATGTAAAATCTGTTCTGCAAAAGACAAAATCCGGGAGCCGGAAATATGTGAAGAAGGGGTTAAGTGGCGTCCCACCAGGCAAGACTCGTGAGGAATGCATGAAAGAAAAAACGGAAGAGCTGGAAAATCGATTGAGAGAGATTGGAGGACTTCCTCAAGGTGCTCCTGGATACCATAATGCACATAATCCGAAAAAGTCACGTAAGTCTACTATCACCACAATTACCATTGATCCTTATCATTTTCAGCTTTTTAAATCAATCTCTTAGTTTTCCAATCTTCCTCTGTTACTACTGTCATCTTGAACCGAAACTTATTACAGTTTTAGCTTGTTGATGCTCGTGAGTAATTATTCACTAATCGTCAGTACGGTAACATCTAGATGATTTTATATTCCTTGTGTCCAATGGAACTATTAGTTTGGTGTTCGCAAATGTACTCACAAATTTTCCTACTGTCATCTTATAAGGTTTAAAGAATTAACTTCATATATGTTACGTGATAACCGTTATATACTGCCATATACACTGTTTACTAGTTTACCATAGACACGTTGGTTAAATAGCTTAACTGTTTTAGAAATCAGTATTTTTACGTTCAAACAGTTACTTTCACTGAGGACATATTGTGCTCTTTATTTTGCTGTCAGATTCATTTTAATGAATTAGTATTTCCGACCTTGTATTGTTTTCAGTCTTTAGTATTTTCTCAAACGTCGTAGCCATTAAGCACAGATTTGCATAATATCTTCCAAAGACCCTCGGTATGATGTATGAATGAATATATATTGACAAATAGCTATCTTTGCTTATACGAATATTCGTCAAGATTAGAACGAATAGTTTGACAGTGATTGAGCGCCGAGTATAGAGAAGTCATTATATGTGAAAATTATATTTGAAATATTCTCAGCGATTGAAATTTAACTAATTCCAACGTTTCGTCCAGCTAACTTGTCTGGACTTCTTCAGGGTAATAATCAAAATTATCAAAGAAAGAACGAATTTTGATTTTGATTATTACCCTGAAGAAGTCCAGACAAGTTAGCTGGACGAAACGTTGGAATTAGTTAAATTTCAATCGCTGAGAATATTTCAAATATAATTTTCACATAATATCTTTGCTTATGCTTGAAGTGATCTTTTTAGTGACTTATTACAATGTTGTTTAGGAATGATAACCATGCTTTTGTTACAGAAAAATCCGGTAATGACTTAGAGGTTAAATCAGTTAATTTTCGACCAATCTTCATATCTACTTCAGCTTCCTATGCTGTAAATGAGACAGTTGTTTAGTTTTTTTTTCAAAGTCCTTGTATGTCGACTTCACTAATTTGTACTCGGCTATTTTGATATAACGTAGCAAATTGCTCATCTCTTCTATTTTTCTATACATCAACTAAGTATTTTAATCGTTTGTTTTATACTTTATTGTGTTCTAATCGTTTCGGTGCTAGTAAAAGTTTGTTGGTTAGGTATTTCTCAATAACAAGATTTTCTTAGATAATGCATATCACTTCATTGTTTTTCAGATGGTACTAATCGTTTGAGCGCATCATCATCCAGTTCAAGTGATTCCGAGAGTACTTCAGACTCAAGTGAATCTGATTCTTCAGATTCTAAATCTTATAGTGAGTCCTGATGAATTGCTACATTTGCAACTTATTCCCAGTAATTGAATGCTGCATTCTTTATTGTCATCCAGTATTCTTTCTTTTTCTAAACAACTTTACCACAGTATGGTTTCATTTTGTAATTTCTTTAAATCCTTATTTACTCAACGTATATCATTCTTTTTTTTAAACTTACACACACCTTTTTACTGCCAGCCACTGTGCTAACATCAAGTCAAGAATTTCACTTTTTTACAAACTGAAGTCGTAAGATTCCAATCAAGCACCAAATAATTCAGTACTTGATTTTTTCGCCTCAGTGGCTTTCCTATTCTTTGTACATCAATTCTTGGTTTCTTCTTATACACCACTATGTCTCCAACACATGGCGTTGTTTTCATGAGAAATTTGTACCTAATTCTCTTTTAATTGTTTGTGGTCCTGTGTATAAAAAGATCATTGAATGCATTTTTGTACAGTACTTAGCATGTAATTTTCATTTGATAAATTATCTGCTACTAAAGTGAGAGTCTTCTTGATGTTAGCACATTGGGTGGTAGTTTAGGTTGATTTAATTATATCTTAAGGCCTGCCTTCCTGGTGTTCTTGCTATAATTTCAGAAGCAGCTTCAGACCACAAACAGTCGCATGACCAGGTATCTTCAACTGGCCTACAGAGTTGTTCGAAATCGACTGTTTTTTTATCCCCGAACTCAGGTGCTGTGACAAATAAGACATCGATCAATCAACCACCGACATTTTCTGCACTTGACTCTGTTGCAAGTGGTCATTGTAATGATGATGTCGTTTATGAAAAATGTATTGAACCAAAGACTGAACAAAATGAATCTTCAGATACGGAATCTGAACCAAACTCCCCTCACCAGCTACCTCAACCTGTGTGGGCCATCTCAGGGTTTTCCAAAAAGCCATCTTCTGAAGATGGTACGTTAGGCAAACCCCTTCTTACAAGTAGCTGCACAGCTACATCAGCTTCTGAGGTTTCTTCAACAGTTGTGGCTGCTAGATTGGTTAATGTATTACCCGATCCTGTTGAAGCAAACGACATTTTGCTACCTAACTCTCAGCCCGGTAGAAACGAGGAAAAAGAAAAACAGGCCGCGGCTCTTCAAATAATGCGCGAAGCTCGCAGACAATCTCAATGGAGTTCTCGCGCGGCTGAAGAGAAGGCTATTCGTGAACGCGAGGAGGCTGACAGACGACGTCAGGAAGAAGAACTTGCTTTAGAAGCTGAAAGGAGGAAAGAACAGGAATTGCGCCGTATTGAGGAGGAGAAGCGCCTTCTTGTCGAAGCTCGAAAGCGTGATGACATTGCAAAGCGTAAGGTTAGTATGTGGTTGTTTGGGAGACACTACTTGGGTCATGTTTTAATTGCTGTTCGTATATTGTCTAGTCATAGTTTACCTTGTACACAATATTAATTTAAAGTGAAGAGTTGTAGAACATGCTTTATTATGGGAAAGGAAATAATTACCATCGTTTATATGCGGAGATAAACCACACATTAATAGAATTAGGTATTATTTTTATGGTAATGTACGATTCACGTAAGAAGTGAAACGACTGGATTTGTTATTAAAATTAACATCTGCTAGCGTGGTTTCTGAGATCCTTATCTGTATTGAGTAGGTTACAGCGAGTCAGTCTTAATAATAGCCAGCTTTTAGCTCAGAATTATCTGCTTTTTGTCAAGCAATATACTCATATTGGAGATGAAAGATTCTATCCACTTCTTCACTTACATTGAACTTGCAAACGGCCATTAATTTCACTTGTGCAATTGGTTTGCCTGGTTGTATGCTGATCATGGGGTTTATTGTTAATTTTGTAAGTAGTGACCTATTGTGTGTTGTTTATCTCACTCAATATATAGGCTGTCCATCAAAAAGTTCGTGCTTAATCGTAACCACGTATTAAGCTGGTCTTGAAACATTTCACTTGTAGATCAATTCTAGTTTGCAAATGTCTACTTAAGCATTACTTTTTGAGTCAAATTACCGCAGGATGAAATTTTATCAACGTAGATTGTTTTTCAGATTAGGATATTCTGAGTTTGCAAATATAATTTAGGGTGTTAGTCTTTTGCACTGGGTAGTTTTCTTCTTTGGAATTTCCCTTACGGTATTGAAACTAAACTCTCTATTAGGGTATCACTTATTGAGAAAAATTAGTCAGATGTTTGGTAATTTTCCATTTTGTGTCCATTTAATTTCATGATGGTTTCTTGATAATGTTCAGTTATGAGTATTCGAAAACTTATGTATTTATCGTAAGCGCTTGGACAGTACATCAAAATTCACAATGCTTACTCCGATAATTTATCTAACTACATGTTGCACATAGGGTTGAATATCTGGTACAGTAGTACTGTTTTGTGTAATTAAATGTCAATAATTTTGTCAGTGCAACTTTGGGTATACTGTATGTTCAGGAATTTTGTATCTCCATTGCTACTCTTTTACATCTTTTGATGCTGTAGTCTTTTTCTCATTAAGGTACTATGAACCTTGATAGAACTTTCTTTTATTTGTTCCTGTGAGAACACAGATGAAACGTTTTTCTAGATGCTATTTCGTTTTCCATATCGCATATCCTAAAAAGTTTATTCAGATTTTAGTGTAATGCGTTGTTTTATCTTTCAAATATGAATAAATAAAGACTATTTTTCGTACTTGCAATTAGGCCATGATCGGTGCACCAGAACGTATAAATGCTCATGAATTACTGACGGAATTCGAGAATTCAGTTGATATATCTTGCATTGATGCATGTTTTGCCATGCGTCACTTCTAAATCAATGCTGTATCATCTACAAGAATGTACTTTTCCATCATACCTCATTTTCCGAAGCGTAAAATAATTTTTTTCTAGTTAATAATAAATTCACAGGAACTTCTAATAACTAGTGTTTATTCACTTTTTCAAGTTCTTTTGACTAAATGGACGTGACGTTTTCTCTTTGTAAATGTACATAACCAGTTAGATTTTTCATTTTTGTCTTGATTAAGAATTAATTTCTTCTGGTCATTTGATATACTAACATTTTTTGTGCATTCTGGAGGGGAAAATTGTTACTAGTCGGTTTTATTATGAAAGGTACGAACTGGAAAAGTTATCAACCATGTTGCTAAATATAGAAATTGAACTAGGACTGACCAATTTGGAATACTTTTTTATCCAACTAAGGAGCTTGGTTGTATTTTTTCTTGTTTCAATGGAGTTATTTATGTTGATGGTGTTATTCAAGTTTGTTTCACCGTTGATGTGGTTCTATTGTTCAGATTGTTAACTAGATATAATGTAGTCTCCGAAAACTAGTCGTGTTTCTTCAGAATTAACGGTTTAGGTAACAAAACGATCTGCAAATTAACTTGAAAACCGCTGGCAAGTGTGGTAGAGATGTGCTATTATCATAATGGTGTCTCAAGTACATTGAAGCATTGAGTTAGATGACGTTCTATTATCGTAATATTAGCATTAGCATTGGCCGTACTTCCGATTGTGTCTTTAACATCTTAGCACCGAACGGTACAATACGAAACAAGTAAAGAACTTGAATGAATAAATGATTGAGAATGGCATTGATAATATCAATTTCGTACAAACACGAAAGCCTGGTACGGTCACTACTAAAATGATGTAACCATCTTCAAAGTTGCGTTATGGTCTCAACAATTGCCTACGTAAACACGGCCTAATTTATGTCAATTGAACTGATATATTGAATCCTATTGTCTAAGGTATTTTATGCCAAAAAGCTGTATAGCCTTAATCACAATAGACATTTGTTTAAAGAGACACTACATCAGAACTGGTTTATATGGATCGGAATGATGGATTCTCAAGAAGAATAACACAACAAAGATAAGTGATCGAAAAAGTCAGTTTTCACTGTCACTGCGTTTAGAGCCTTACTATTTTCACCAAGTATAACATGATATGAATCTCAAGCAGAAATTATGACTGATGTGGTGTTTACCTAACATAAGAGTAATTCAAAGATGTAAATACATACAGATCATACGTCTCTATATCGGTGGAGATTTTCTCAAGAATAAATAATTGATAGATCAACACATCTACATATCTAATCTTTGGACGAAATAATATACTTCCTGGCGATGGGCGATCCGAAGTCAATTATATCGAGCATGCTATATTGAATATAAATTCTCAGGGCCATAATTTTGGGTGAGAAAAACATCCACAAAACATTCTTGTATTTAAATGAATGCACGATAGTCAAAAATACTTTTAAGTTTTCTTAGCTTATTTGTACTAGGATCAAGCTTTCTTATCTCAAGTAATGGTTTTGTTGTGACAGCTTAAATCAATGAATACAAATATTAGATAGAAGGAATGGGCCGAACTGTGTTCTCAGGGAACTTTCCATAGATTCCAACCAAATAATTCCCACTAGCCGATTGAATAAACGTTGTAGGAAAATAAATACTTATGTACTAACAGTTCGACTAGAACAGTATGTTTGCGTTACTTATGTAATTAACAGATGAATAGATTCAAGATGATCATAGTGTAATGAATAGTTCTTCACTTTACTCTTATGATTCTTAAGTGTCATTGAGAAGGCTATATATGAATTTTGATTCTTGTTCATCGATTCTGTGTAATAACATTAATAGCCTGGTAGTTCTGATTGACGTTTTCTAGAAATTGTGATTAGAATCTTGAATAATACATCAGAACTTTATTCACCATTCACACGCTTTCTTTAATCTCAATAGTCCATAGCCTTATAAACTTACTAAATAATATTTTCGCAATTAGCAGCTGATTTAGTGTGGTGTTTGTATGAACTAACGATTCATTTGTACTTGTTGAATGCTTGATTTCGAATTCCAAATACAGTACATTCGTTTGTGGATATCTAGTACTTCTTGATCCAATAGCGTTATGTCTGGGATTCTTAGTCTGTACTATAATTCAAATACTCCTAATTATCACATTTAGCTATCTTGAACAAGTGAATAATTGCTATATTCGTTATCCGTATAATCGATAACCGAAGAAAATGAATTAATTCAGAACTGGAATACAAATGTCCTTTAATATATATATATATATATATATATATATATATATCATTAGATTCCATAGCATATATTGGTAATGAATCAAGTGTAATTGGATTGAATGGATACAACTGGACTGCAGTAATGATCGTATTGAATTAACACCAGAATTATACCTCTTTGTGATTGATTTGGATTTCTATTGGCACTGGCAATAAAATATTCACCAGTTGTATCTTAGGGAAATAAATGTAAGGCCACAATAGACAGGTCTAATCTGCATTGTATTGCAATGAATACAAACTGCTCATGATCAATTTACTAGCATGTCCCAAGTATTGATATGCCAATATAGTTATGGGATATGATTGACAAATACGTAAAGGGAACCAGACAGGAATATTGGTAAAATTCGGAAATAAGACATTTGAAATAAGCACACGTTAACTAATCGAGTTGAGCTAGTGCGTTTGACAACAATATTTCAAAATGAATACAGTTATGTTAATTTAACGTGGCTATATTAAACCCCATAAGGATGTGATATTATCAGGTATCATAGTTACTCTTTAAAAGTCAAAATCATTCACGTAAATTCGCGTTTTATAGAAATTTAACTGATATGACTTTCTGGGAGCAATCGGACAGACTAATTCAAGTGTAGCGTGGCGTCGAGTTGAGGTTAACTATGAACACCGCTACCAAGAAACACGTGCCAAGCGAATCAGAAGGCGAGGGTTGGACGTAACCAAATAGATCCATAAAATCCCCGAGAAGCCGAATACCAGAAGGCAATTAATGGACCAAGTCGAGGTTTATTTGCTGGCGATCTCGTGGCATCGAAAGGATACCGAGATCGTGCCAGGATACAACCTTGGTTACAGAAGGTAACCGAATTCACGCGAAGTTACAATCAAAGTGTAAGAATCAGAATGGAAGCACAAAATAGCTGTCATTAGCACAGTCAAACAAAAGCACGTTAAAACAAACACTGGTACAGTTGGTTATAATAATAATTGTTTATATTAAACCAGTCGTGTTCTCGTGATAAACGCGAGTCACTACACAAGTAAACTGACACATTGGATCACCGACAATTTTTTTGAAGTCGTGCTTATTTGTGAATAAACTGACATACCATTTTAATCAGTTCAAAATAAATAAACGCGTTTAGATTGTTGACCGATAAATCCTGATGTTGGGAAATATGATTTATATTGAAAATAAAGTTTGCACAAGAAAAGCAACAAACCTAAAAATTTACGTTTGCTGAATCTTTTGATACATCAAGACATCCTTGGAAATATTCATTTAATCAATATCTTAATGAAAATTCCTGGTCATGTATCTTGAAGACATTACACAAACAACACGATTGAGTCCCAGGATATCTCAGTTTATTGTCGACAAAATGACCAGTCAAGTTTAATTTTCAGAAAATTGTAGCGGTAAATAAATCCATAAAATAAATAGTTCTGTAAGTCTTCGGCATTGATGTTATCTCACTATTTTAGTGGACACACTTAGCTGAAGGCGCTTGGTCACGCATCCACACCAGATACCGAGTGGATACATCGTGCTACTCATCCCTTACAACTATCAGCCAGCTTAAACCGAACGCTCCTCGACATATCGATAACTTTTGAAATATGTCTTCGAACCCCTTCATTTCTGACTTCTGATTTGACTTTGTTGGTATACTGCGAAAATAAATGTGTTCCGTATAGAGGTATTGTTAAACTCTGAATACCTGTGGGATCTTTAGTAGTGATACCGACGTGGTCTAGCGCACCAAACATTAAAGTGTGAGTCTGTTCCTTGTTGTAACATTATATATCACTTTTTAACTTTTATTTTTACATATTGTAATGCTGTTTTTATATTTTCGGATATCTTTCCTCACATATTTCTATATTTTATCTTCATCATGACGGAACAGATGGCTAAGCTATTTATGATTCAGAATCTTTAAACTCCCACATTTCAACTCATGCCATTCCAGCCCGATAACATCGAAGCCTTGTTCTGCTGTAGTGGTTTGACTTCCAAATAACTTCTTAGACGTCATTCATCAATATATATATGGGAATGCGAGTGATACATCGAGCTATATTTGAGCGGGAAACATTTAAGTTAGAGAGAGGAATAAGTGTCAAGGCTTTTACATTCGAATAGGACTGTCTTTTACACAACTAACAAAATGGACCAACAAAACTAACCCTAAACAAACTTAATTGCACGGTAGGTACTATACTACTACTATTGCTTCGACGCAGAAGCCGATTTCCACGACGCGGCGTTACAGGATTATGTACACAATTCCTCACAGTAATGAAAGCAGTACTACGTGAATTCAACAGGTACGTCACACCTAGTCTGCTTACTAGTATTGTTTAGGAACCTCACTACACATTGAAGAAGATTATTCTTAAACGTGAGGACCTAACCGACTGACGATGGTCAGACCAAAGTTTCCACGACATCGGGCATTTAAGGACAATTCTTTCCAGTTGCTGATCATCACTTTGATGTCTGTCTCATTCCCGGCACAGTGTTGCTCAAAATTCCTTTTTTCCGTTTCCCTTCGGGATTCCAAGTCAGAGCCTGCCTCGTAATGCAGTTTGATGACTCCCACAATGTATGTCCCATCCACCTTCAGCATCTTTTACTAATTTCCTCTTCGTCTGATGGTATCCGGTCAAAAGATATTGAATATTGAGTGAATACATGTTCCCTTTTTATATTGATGGTTGTAGTAGTTCTCCATGTTTCAGCTGCATATAGTAGGATTGTGTTGACGTTCGTATTAAAGATTCTCATTTTGATATTGATTGACAGTTGTTTTGATTCCCATATGTCCCTCAACTGTAGGAATGCTGTCCCTGCTTTGCCAATCCTTACCTTTACGTCGGCATCAGATCCTCCTTGTTTATCGACGATACTGCCCAGATAAGCGAAAGCTTCCACCTCTTCCAGAGTCTCTCCATGAAGTGTGATTGGGTTGGTATTCTCCGTGTTGTATTTGGCAATCTTGATTTTTCCCTTGTGTATGTTGAGGTCTACTGACGTAGAGGCTGCTGTCACACTGACTGTACTCACCTGCATCTGTTGGTGTGTGTGTGTGTGTGTGTGTGTGGGATAGAAGAACCATGTCATTTGCGAATTCCGAATCGTCTAGTTGCATGTGAGCTGTCCACTGTGTTCCGTGCTTCCTCTGAGATGTCGAGGTCTTCATAATCCAGTCAACCATCAGAGGAAAGAGAAAGGGAGGAAGTAAGGAGCCTTGTTTGACTCCGGTCCTGACTTGTAATTGGTTTGTGAGCTGTCCTCCATACACGACTTTGCAGTGTAGTCCATCGTATTCATTCCGTATGGTGTTGATGATTTCCCCTGGTACATTATAGTGTGGAAGAAGGTTCCATAAGGTTTTCCTATCCACCCTCGAATGATTTCTCATAATCAAGGAAGTTGGTGTATAGTGACGAGTTCCATTCAATTGATTGTTCAACGATGATCCGTAATGTCTGTGCACTACCTATCCACACGGAATCCGGTCTATTGATCTCGAAGCTGGTCGTTTACTGAATCTTTCATCTGGTTCGGCAACACTGTTGAAAACGTTTCTTGGTACCGATACTAGTGTGATGCCTGTGCAGTTCTCACACTTGCTGAGATCTCCTTTCCTTGGTATCCTGATGAGATATCCTTCTTTCCGGTGTCTGTCTGTGTCTATCAGTATGTCGTCACTTGTTCCTCCTCCCAAATCCTCCTGAATGGAACATGGAACATGTTTGTGGTTACTCCGACGTGTGACTTGAATGATTCAGTTGGTAAATTGTCAGGTTCGATTGCTTCTACTGCTGTTGATGTTTTCCCACAGTTGATTTGTTTGATGACCGATCATCCTGATTTCTTCGATCGTCGGTGGAGTGACAGTTGTAGGAATGTGTGTATGTGTTGCCTCGATGTTCGTTGTGTTCATTGGAGCTGTTCTATTCAAGAGTTCGTCAACGTGTTCTACCTATCTGTTCCTGCCTTGTCTTGTTTGTCCTTAATCGGTCTCTCTGGTTTACTCTATTTCCCTGCTTGTTTCTTAGTTGCGCCATACGGTTTTCTGATATTTGCTTGTGTTACAGCTTTTTCCACCGTCGTTGTTAGGTGTTCCATGTATTTCTTCCTGTCGACTCTAATGCTCCTCTTCACCTGTTTGTTTGCTTTGTGTACTCAGCTTGTGCCCTGACCATCTCCGTTCTTCTTCGACTGTTGTTAATTGCATTGTTTTTTTTCTTCTTTTCTTGAATCCAAGACAGGAGTTCCATAGAGATCCATTCGTCATGATACTGCTTGTTGTGGTGCAGCACTTCCTGACACTTTGAAGTTGGCGTTACTTTGATCCCTTTCCAGTTGTTCTCCATAGTATTTTCCTCTTCTTCTTTGAGTAGATCCTGTAAGACTTGGAACCTGTTGTTGAGAGCTATCTAGAGTTCTTTGAGTTTTAATGAATTAGTCCGTTTGATAAATTTTATAATGTAATAAGACGAAGATTATCAGAACTATGTGATATATTAGCGCAATACATTTCGAACAATCTAATCACACATATACTTGTTAAGAACATTTATATATGAAAATTAAAGGTCAAGTAGACTGGAAATGGGGTAAGAAGAGACAAGGATAATAATAAGAGTGAACATAATTTGAAACCTAGTCATCTCTCTGGATAATATGTCAATATTACCAGGGTAGGTATTGACCTGTCCACGTTGCTTTTCTAAAAATGGATCGTTTGACTGAGCCATCTCATCTACTCAGAAGTATATCTAGGAAGGGAAGCTGATCGTTCTTCATTT